CATGAGATAGTGAGTTCCCTGTTTTCAGGCAAAGCCTAAATGATTGCTTGTCTAAGTTCATAAGGTCATAGATAGAGGGCTGGAAGGGACTTTAGAAGACTACTAGTCCCACCCTTTCATTTTTCAAATGAAGAAATGTAAGTCAAGTGACTTTGCCCAAGGTCACAGAGCTAAGAAGTAGCAGAAAGGGGATTCAAACACAGGTCGTCTTACTCCACATCTAGCACCCATGTCTGTTACACCATACTGTCTCTGCGGTTTTTATAGAGGGAATTTCTGTTGAGGTTGTTCTATGTCCCATATCTCTTCTCTCCTTATCAGCTAAACTCCCTGAAAAAGCCAGCTGTAATCCATGCCTCTATTCCTTTTCCCCTTACTCAATTCTAAATCAATTACAATCTGGCTTCAACCCCTAATTTGACTGAAACTACTCTCTTGAAAGTTCCCAGCAATTTCTTAATTGCCAAATCTAATGACGATTTCTCAAGCCTCATTTGTCCTCTTTGCAGCCTTTGACACTGTTGACCACCCTCTTCTCATAGATACTGTCTCCTTTCTAGGTTTTCATAGTTCTCTTTTCCTCTAATTATATCACTTAGTGAGAGTTCCCATGAGATCATTTATCTTCTCTATGCAGATGATTCCCATATCCATATATCCAACCCTAACCTTTCTCCTTAGCTCCATGTTCCCAGTATCAACTCTTTTTGTGGACATGTTGAACTGGATATCTTGGAGGTATCCCAAACTCTACATGTCTAAAGCAGTACCCATTATCTTTTACCCAAAACCCTCTCACTTTCTGAACTTTCCCATTATTGAGTAGACTGAAACTCCTCCCAGTCACCCAGGCTCTTAACCTCAATGTCGTTGTCACGCTCACTTCAAATATTCAGTCTGTTCCCATGTCTTGTTATTTCTACTTTGATGGTATCTCTTCTAACTGCCCACTTCTCCACACTCACAAAGCCACCACCGTAGGATAGGCTTTCATCACCTCATACCTGGACTATAACAGTAGCTTTCTGGCTGGTCTCCCTGCTCATCTTTTTGGTGTTTAAAGTCTTAACAACCTTGCCCCTTCCTAGGTTTTCTGTTTTCTTATACTTTATTCCCCTCTGCCTATTCAATGATCCAGGAATACCTACCTACCTGCTTGCTGTTCCTTGCACTTAATACTCCTATCTCTTGACTCCAGGCTTTTGAACTATCTGCCTGCTTGGACTAGTTATACTCTTCCTATTTATGTAATTGTTTCCCTGACTTTCTTCTTTCCATGGCAAGTTAGGTGGTTCATTGGATAAAGTGCTGGGCAGAATGTAGACTACCTAAGTTCCAATCCAGCCTCCAACACTTATTAGCCCTGTGACCATGAGCAAGTCATGTAACCTCAGTTTCTTCAACTGTCAAACGGAGATAAAAATAGCCCCTACACCCCAGGGTTATTGTGAGGATTGAATGAAATATTTGTAAATTAGGTAACTACCATTAGGTAGTTACCTAATAAATGTGAGTATGCTTCCTATCTTTTAAGATTTAGCTGAATTCTCACCTTCCGCTGAATGCCTTTCCTGACCCCACCTACTTCCTCTCTTTACCTGCCAGTGCCTTCCCTCTGTGACTGCCTTCCACCAATACTATATATATCTCATATATACATAGTTTGTTCACATGTTGTCTTCTCCATTAGAACATGAGCTGTTTGGTTTTTTGGGTTTTTTATTTTTTTTGCTTTGGTTGTATCCCTAGCACTTACTCTAGTGCCTGGCATGGAGTAAGTGCTTAATAAATAAAGTGCTTACTGACTCCCTGCATATATTAATATTTGACTTTGGTGAAGGTTAAACTTTTATAACAATAGAGTCAAAGTACCCACTTTTCCAGGGCCATGGGAGTACTTTTGGAATGAGACTTTCAGAATTTAAAAAGAGAGATAAAAGACAGAACTTTGAAGTGGAAAAAAAGAGGTTTTCTCCCATCCACTATCTAAACATAAATAAGACATTAATATCAACAGATTTTGTGTATTTCAATCATGGACCTTCTTCCCGTTTTCTCTGTCCTCCACAGTCCTTATAAGTAGGCTCTGAAAACACAGCAAAACTTCTCCCCCTACCACTCACTATTTGAGTTTTGTTATGGGAAAGAACTAAAAGCTACAAGTCTTCTAACTTGTAAGATGTCAGAAATAATTTGGGAAGCAATTGATGAAAGTGCTTCATCTGTATTCTACCTCTTAGAGTGACAGATAACATATTCAGAAATGAAAGCTTCTGAGAAACTCCATCCTAATGAGACTATAGATACCTGACAAGGAAAATAATTTATAAACCAGAATTACTACACAGATTTGTTTGTGAATATCAAATAAATATTTCCTTATTTATACAGACCCAAAATGCAGATTATAACAAAGTACATGTGCTTTTTGTTAGTGTCTGTAGATAGCTACATTGGTCTTTTTTTCCATGTATAACATTACTTTGAAGAGATTAAATATTCCAGAGAAATCAGATGCTTCAAGATCACTGATGCACACAACCACTTGTCCTCCTACAGATGTTTTAGTCTGATCATTTATTGTTCAGACACCTCCTAGTACAAAACAGAGAGAGAACATGGCCTCAGTCTACTGGGCTAATAAGCTAAAAACAACAGATAAAGATGAACCTCACACCCCCACCTCCACCAAAATTGGTTAGATTAAGATAGATAATTTGCACAAGAAATAAGGATGTTCAGCCCATTATCTTCTTTTGTTTCCTCCAGGCATATCACTACACTGTCCTACTTTGCAAAGGGAAAAACCTCTTCCCTTTCCCTTAATGGAAAGATACAGATTAGTAGGGACAAGGAAAATATGTGAGGAGGTATAGTTTCTTCCAATAGTACATTCAACCAAAAGAGAACTTCTTTTTGTGAATTTATAACAGCCTGATCTACAACCTGGAAATCCTACAGAGAGAGTATCTTTTGAAAGAACAGCTAGAAATAAGTAAGAATCCGAAGGAATAAAAGGCAGGCACTAAGGTAGATGACTAAGAGGAAATGACCATGCCTAGAACATGGAAAAATACCTGAATAGAAAATATAATTGTGGAAAAGGGATGGATGAGACCATGACAAGACATGCCTAGAAAGTGGGTCAGAATTAAAGCAAAAGATTATAGAGAAATAAAGTGGTGAGTAGAAAAATATATCCTCACTATCCTAATTTCACCTCTTCAGTATGTCAATGTAGAGAGACTGCACCCTCTTCTTGGCTCCATACTTTTAACTGGGTCCAAATTCTTTTGCATGGCAAAGAGAATGTTGGGAGGGAAGCTGACTTAACTGTCCCAGCATCCATACATATGGAAATCAGGTGGCCAACGTGTATGTGTAGCTGAGGCAAGTCACCTCTGTAACACTATAGAACTGCTAATGTTGTCCGATGACTGGTGGTGTTCTTGAATATGTATCACATTGTCTCTGTTGGCATCTCTTAAACGCTAAGAGCCAAGCTGCTCTCTGCATGCATCTACCAAAGTGTGGTGACTAGAAAGCCCTTCTCTGACAAGAGCAGGCTATCCACTCTCTTAGTACATAGCTGAGGCTATTGTTCACAACACCCAGCCAAAGAAAGCTAACAAAAGCCAGCAAAACCAAAACAAACAACACGAAACACCTCAGACGAAGATTATTCTTTAAATGTCCTATGTCTAATATTGTTACCAAGTGTCTAGTCTCAGACAAGTATGTGACTTAAGGTTTAGGAAATTCCTTATAACTTCATCACAACCCTTGTTACTCCCATTACGTTGGGTCTAAAAAAACTTTTTCAGGAACTCTTCTTCAAGCAAAACCAAAAACCAAGAGTTCAGTGGTGCCCGGGTAAGCCCCAATAACAAAAGCCTCTTTGATTAGCATGCAGGTGAAGTTAAGGCCAGGTGAAGAAGCCATAGCCATTAACCTCCAGACCCCTTCAGTAGGCATTCCTGCCTTTATTAAGTATTGCTGTCGGTGGCAACGTTTAGTTTGCCTATTCCCAGCACCTAAGTTCTGTCTCTCTAAGAGCAATCAAATGAAGAGAAATGTTGTGTTACAGTTCTGCATTATAGATGGGTTGATCTGACAGAGTGAATTAATGTTTTATCTGCCTGGACACCACCATAGTCTCTATTTAGAATGGTCTCCTCTTTCCTCTTGGCTACTACAAATCCTACATATTCTTCAAGGCCCACCCACTTCAGGAAGCCTTCTTTGACAATACATTATCTGTACCATACCACGTAGGCCCTAAATATAGTCTGTACAGTATGGCATAGTGAACGGGGCTTGGAGTTAGGAAGACCTGAGTTCATCTCCTGTCTCTGACACTCACTAGTTTTGTCGTTAAAAACGACCAGTCATTTTTAAACTTTATGCACCTCAAGCAATTCCCTAGGACTTAACTAAATCAAAGAAGATGAGTGATCTGCATTGGTTATGGGAGCTGCCATACTTGGAGTTCCCCACCCTCAAGAAATCATAACTCATCCATGTACTCCCATATTATTTTCTGATTGTTTCATGTTATTAGTCATGCATCTTTAACTAATACATGCTTTCCTTGACGACCAAAAGTGCATCTTACATTATTTTCATAAATTCTCATAGTGCCTAGCACAGGGCTAAGAACATAGCATGAACTCAGTAAATACTTGCTAATGGATTCATTTCAGCTAGCAGTAATGTCCACTAAGGTACCATTAAAGGTATTGAACAACCTTTTAGAATTTGCTATCTTGTCATTGGTTTCTGCTAAAACTGTATCTGGTAAGTACATGATTATACAGTAATCATTTCTGATATTTTTTGGGTGACTAGCATACTTTAGTTACACCTCATGTCCATGACTAAAAAGCAAACATTTTCATAGTTTTTTTTTTCCTCTTTTTCTCTTTTTCCTTCTTTTTCTTCTTTTCCTTCTCCCCCTCTCCTCCTTCTCTCTCTGTCTTCTCTCTCTTCTGTTTCCACAGGTCAGCGTTGAAGTCTTGGTAGAATATCCTTTTTTTGTATTTGGACAAGGTTGGTCATCCTGCTGCCCTGAGAGAACCAGCCAGCTCTTTGATTTGCCATGTTCCAAACTCTCAGTCGGGGATGTCTGCATCTCGCTCACCCTCAAAAACCTGAAGAATGGCTCTGTTAAAAAGGGCCAGCCCATGGATTCAGCCAGCATCTTGCTGAAGCACTCAAAGAATGACAGTCTAGTAGGAAGTAGACACAGGTATGCTGAGCAGGAAAATGGGATTAATCAGGGAACTTCACAGATGCTAGCAGAGAATGGTGAACTCAAGTTTCCAGACAAAATAGGATTGCCTGCAGCACCCTTGCTCACCAAAACAGAACCCAGCAAGCCCGTGGCGACGAGGAAGAGGAGGTGGTCTGCGCCTGAAACACGGAAACTAGAGAAATCAGACGAGGAGCCGCCTTTGACCCTTCCCAAACCTTCTTTTATTCCTCAGGAGGTTAAGATTTGCATTGAAGGTCGATCTAACGTAGGCAAGTAAAGGCGCTTTGGGGGAAAGGAAATTAGGCTCTCCCTTGTCATTTTTATCCAGATTACTGTACTGTAGGCTAAATAACCCAGTATTTACATGTTATCATCTTATTTTAGGTTTATGTTATAACCTTGTTGTTATAGTTGCAGCTGGTGTTATGCAGGAGACTGGTGCATATGTTTTTTTCCACAAGCGTTTGTCAGTGATTAGGTTGGTGGGAGCTAAGGCAGGGGCTGTCTAGGCTCCACACATATATTGAATGGAAACGAACACGGCGTCCTGGCTCCTGCCTTTTTTCTGACAGTGCAGAAACACCTGGTGTCCAGCTGACTTCTGCTGATTCTTTCTCATGAGGCCACAGAAAGGGAATTGGAATGGAAGAATCAGAGTGAGTGAGTGAGTGGGTGTGTGTATATGTGTGTGTGTGTGTGTGTGTGTGTGCACGCACGCAAGTATGGATGCAGATGTAAGTGGTTCTCTCTTTCTGCCTCTCTCTGTCTCTCTCACTCACAGCATGAGATTACAGCTCCATCGCAATTGTCATTATGAAGTCCTCACACACAAAATCAACATTAGGAACCCAGCTTTAAGGCATCTTCAAGAGGCATCAGGCAGGAAGCAAATAGTTTAAAATCACATTTCTCTTCAACTTATTTTACAATGAAAATGGCTTTTAATCCAATAAATATATATCTATATATAAACATATATTTTCCCCCATGGGGCCTGACTGCACTGATATTTTTCATAGAGTAACTGCCACACGCGGATTCCATTTCTGCTTTGCTAATGACATTGCAAGGGTGTAACTTCAGAAAAAAAAAAATCTCGTCCCCCTCTTGCTTTGCTTTGTTGAGGTTGGGTTGGGTTTTCTCCTAGGGGAAATGGAGAAAGGGATAGTGATACACCCTGTAGAGCTGCCAGCTAAGACCTACTCTCAGTTTCCATGCAGTGTTAGAAAAGCAGACTGGGTTTTTCCATGGACATTTGCTTCTAAGAGGTAGATATGTCCTGCCCCCTCACAGAATGCAAACCAAATCTGTTTGCACTTCAGTTGGCAAATTTTTTGTCTTTTTGACTCTAGTACTGTTTATAGTTCATGATTATGGACAACCTGGTGCCACTCTTTCAGATTTCAGTGTGACACATAAAACGGTATGTGGAAAATGAACAGAATGTCTTTAAGCACCTAAAATGCTATTCACACTTTATTCCTGAGCATCTTGGTCTATCACTCAACTAGTACTGTATCTCACTTTTCATCTGTTTGGGAAGAAAAGCAAACACACAGGGAAATTATTTTCCCATCCCTCCCTGCCCCCAACACTGTCAACTCTAGTACAGTTAGGGAGAGTTTCTGGTGAGCAAGATGTTGAAAGTTTTTATATGGTTTAAAGGGATGAATGTGAATCATGAACCAGTATGTGACAGTAAATGTCCACCATGGGCAACTTGAAAGGAGGCACTTTTAAACTCTGATGCTTGAGAAAGAATAAAATGTGGAGCTGACCGAAAATCAGAGAAAATGAGAGAAAAGGGATAGAGGAAAAAAATACTCATTTTTGTCCAGTGTTTTTTTAAAGGATGGACTTTAAAGAATCTTGCAATTTGCACATCTTGAGTTTATCATTTATGTAGTGTTCCTTCAGTTTTTAATCCAATAATGTTATGGGGAAGGGAGGGGGCTGAAGAGCATAAATAAATGTAGCAATTTCTTTCTAACCTGCCTAAGCTCTAGGCTGTTTTATAAGGTTATGTTCCTTTCAGAGTTCATTTTGATCTTTATATCACATCTATCACAAAGAACCAGGACTTAGTAGGACAACTCTGAAAATCTTCAGATTCATTGAAAGTTTTCCATAATAGACATTTCTATATGTGATCAAGTTTTTTTTTAAAAGAAACTTATTTTATTATTATTGTTATTATTATTATTATTTTAATAATGACTTTTTTCCATTTGAAATCAAATCTAGATTTCAGAGTTTGGTACAAAACAGCAAAGGGTATCAGAGTTTTCAGTCTTTCATTCCCAGAGATCTGGAACATTTTGGGTTTTGAGTTTGCATTTTTACAGTGGTTTTAAGAAACTGTATCAATGGTGGGGAAACCAAATTTACAGTTTCTATATTTGAGTTGTAATAACCAAATGGAACAAATTCTCATCTGAAATTTCCTCTGCCATCTAACACAGTACTGCTAACTCCTTATAGAAATTTTCAGACAATTCAAATATCAACCCAACCTTTGACTCTTGTTTGTTACTTGAAATTTAGCTCACACTAGAACTAATTCTTTTTGTACCGTTTTCTGAGGTGTACCAAAAACATCTGAGTAAGTTTAAAATAGCTTGAAACTTTTCTTGAATTTTATTAACCTCTCAGCATGTTAGCAAATAGCAGCGATACTGCTTATTTAGTGCTGTATTTTTTAAATGTTTCTGCTCGGAGAACTTGCTTAATCTTCCATATACTCTGCTCAGGGCACTTGCCATTCAATGGGTTTCATTTTTCTTCTTTTTTTTTCTTTCTTTTTAACCTTTGATAGTAAGAGAAATATGGGGCCACAGTCCAGACTTAGCTTTCATCAGCACCACTAGAGTTGGTGATTCACACGTACTCAGAAAGACATACACCTTTTGACAAATCAAGAAGCAAGGACTTTCAAACTTACTGGACATAAGGAATTATTCAACACTAAAATGGGAAAACACACACCTTTTGGAGCAATAGGAACATAATCCTAATTTATGTGCTTTCTATTTCAGGTATAGGAATTACAGAATAATTGGTTCTTTCTCAATGTTATCCCATTTGATTCTCTTGCTTTATTTTTTATTTTATTTTTAGCATGTACAATACTTCATGTGCCAATATAGATTCACCAGTGTGCTGGTAGCTCTCTTTCATACTCTTTTGATGTTTGTCACCATTTGGTTATTCTTCCTCTCTTTCCCCAGAACCTTCTGTAGAGATGGGGCAGATTCAAAAAAATAATTCCTTGCCACCCTCCTCCCTGCCCTTGTCACAACTCACGGGCAGAAGGAGGCTCTTCACCTTTTGGAGAAGTGTCTTATTTGTCTTCACATTTCAAAAACAAACAACCAACAAAACAAAAATGCAGACTAGACCCAGGAGAAGGAAAAGAAAAAATTAAAAAAAAAAAAAGACTTAGTTGTCGTTCCCTCAGTGACAATAAAAATGGTGGTATAGATGAAAAGGGTAAATGGAGGGAACAGACATTCATGTCATGGACTCATCAGCAATTTAGCCAGGAATCAATCCGTTTCTCAAATGGTCTTTTGCATGAGGAGAATTAAAACCGGTATCCTTGCCTGTTTACTTATGCCTGCAGTTGTATCTCTGGGTAAGTGCAGGTCCCAGTGTATCCCAGGTGTTGTCCAGACACAGGTATTGCAGCCCATTTCAGGACTGTGCTGTTAGCTACTAGCAGTGGGATCTAAGCCTAAGCTATTAAGTGGCAGCTTAACAGCAGCAGCAATACCATCTCTTATAGAAGATTCTCAAGTACTGGGGAGGGGGGGTGGGGTTCCTTTCAACTGGCAGAAACTGGTAAGCCTTAGCTCATGGCTTCCAGGACTGTTGCTCCCATTTCAATGAACTGACAGTTTTGGTTGTTTTTTGTTTTCTTTTTGTTTTTGTTTTTGTTTTCTGTAATGAAAATAACAATTACAGGCATGGAAATATTTAGGTATCATTCAGCTTAAGAGAATCAGTCATGTACCTCTCTGTACAATACCCACTTTGCAATATTTACCAAGTTGGGTTTTTGTTTTGTTTCATTTTGTTTTGTTTTAACTAATAGCAGGCCTTTTCGTTTACAATGGAACACAATCACCAAGAAATTAGTCAGGGCAAGCATAAATAATAATAATAATAATAATATTAATAATAATAATAACAAAAACCTCTCTTTTTAGGGATTTCTAAATACGTAAATGACTGTTCCTTAGAGTGTTTAACTTAGGAATTGTTTCAGTTTGTCTGGGCCACATCAGGGTGGGGGGGATATGGAGTTCGATGCCACTTACCTCAAGTCCTTCTTAGTGGAAATCCAAATTTCATTTTCATTTTAATTCATATGATGACTTTCTATTGATTTTTTTTCTCCCTATCCCTACCATCTCACCTCTACTCGCCTTCAAGTCATCTGAATTAGGGCTGGGGCAATTTTTTTATTTTGCTCCCAGTTGTAACTCTGAATTGTGAACCTCCTACTGTGTCAACTTTTTTGTGTATGTGTGTACCAGGAAGTGGCATCACTACTCTGTCTCCCCTATCAAGGAACGTTGCGGAACCTTTCACACCTCTTAACTCAGGGATGGGGCTGGCATGTGTGTGGTGCACTGATGTGTCCAGAAGCAGCACTTTGTCTGCTCTGGGGTAGGGTTGTTCGATTTCAAGGAGAGTTTGGATTTTTCCTGCATCATGTGGACTACTTCCTAGAGACTGCATAGGTTGCAATACAACGCTGCACGTTCAGAATGAACTGTAGCTCTTAGAGATCACAAAATCTACTTTGTGCACAAAGTTTGATCTTTACAGAAATCTGTTGCCAAAACTTTGGGTTTTTCTTTTGTCTGTTTGTTTTTGTTTTTTTTTTTTCAAAGGAAACAATTGACAATACCCTGTTAACACTTATGACTACTACTAAAGAAAATCAGTTACTTTTGGCGAAGAGCAAATCTGAAAAGCTTTCTAAGACACTAATGCCATGTGATTTCAGAGATGGGCGAACCAGAGTTCTTAGGCTAGAAGGCCCCATTCACAAGATCTGGCAGTTGTTTCGGCTTCTGTGGAGGGAATGGCAACAGGACAGACAGTGGCCTAGGCTCTACTAAAACCCTTCACGCTTCCTTTCTCGTGTCACCTACAATGGCACCCGAGAAGAACAGGGCCTGTATAATCTGCAGTCTTGCCCAGTGCTTTGGTGGTGATGTGAAAAGCAAAAGAAATGAATTATAATTTTGTAAGTGGAGTGGGGGCTGTTAATTCCTTTCTTGTGTTTAATCCCAAATTTCTGAAATGTAAAATTTAAGAACACTTTGAGTAATAGAGATATACAGAGAAATGACTTTTCTTTTTTTTTTTTTAAGAAAAGCACATACGATATAATATTGTGTTCAGCTGGTTTCCTCTATTTTCCAAGGACAGTGTTGTGTTTCTGTTGATAGGGAAATTCCAAACAACTTGCACACCTCTACTCCAGAGCTAAAATTTCTTTTACATAGACGACCTCGCTTCAGATGTGTTACCTTACTGATAGAATCTTTCCTTGTAGCACTATACCTTGTGGAAATATTTTTTTTAATGTAAACCTAATTTGAAAAGCTTAAGAAAAAAACTTTTCTGAAGCACTCACATTGAGGAGTACAGGTAATTTTTTTTTAAATTGCACAAAAGAAAAATGAATGTTGAAATGATTCATTCAGTGTTTGAAAGACATGGATCTGTTGAAACAGTGAGTTTCATACCTTGTTTGTAAAAAAAAAAAAAAAGCAGAGAAAGGTTAAAAGTTACATGTTGGTTATTTTTTTCCTTTTTTTTGTAAATAGAAATTTGTCGTGTCTAGATGATGGGATTTGTATGGTTATGGCCAGGAGGAGTTACTATTTAAAAGGCTCTTAAACTACAACTATGCTTAATGTTATGTTTATGTTACATGAGTCCCTCATTTGAGGGAGGGGGAACTTTATTCTGAGCTGAGAAAGCACTGTCCACCTGTACCTGTACTGAAAGTACTCGGAGCTTCTCCCTTCTGTCCTCCCACCCTTCCCAGTTTTGACTTGTAAGCCATTGCAATTCCTTCTTTTTTTTTTCTGAGATGATGTTTGATATTTTCAGCACTTCCTGTTCCAACAAATCCAAAGAATATAATCTTGAACAAGAAGTGTTTGTAACAAAGGATCCTAGCTACCAATAAATAAAGGACTCATTAGAAAAGAAAAAAAAAGTTGGCCTTTTGTCTCACCCTCCCCTCATACCTCATTTAAATGGGGGCCGGGGTAAAGACGTAGATTTTAATTTGAAAGCCACAATTTAATTGCAACAGGCTACTTTAATTTGATTTTTTTTTTAAATTCTTGTGATTCAGAGGCCAAAATAAATGGAATGTGAAGCATTTTCTGAGTAAAGAGCCCTTTTGTTCTGGTCCAAAGATCAGGTTGGACAGCAGGAAACCTGTACAGCTGTAGAGTGAATGGGGGTGGTTTTGGGGTCATTGAAACCTACCCACAGTTCTTAAAATTCAGAATCTTTCCCCCTCCATTATATCTGGTATCTAACTGTCTGGCCACATTTTGGGGAGGGGAGGAGAGCATGGGGGTATATTTGTGATGTCCCCAAGGCTTACATAAAAATGGCTCAACTGTATTAACATTTAAGTGCATTTGACCAATAGGTAGTATCTATACAATAACAGTCTTTAAGGATTTCAGTAACTTTTCTTGATATCTAAAACGACTCAAGTCTTCCAATGAGCATAAATTGAAGACTTCATCCAAGTTTTCTTTCTTTTTTATTTGTTGGTTCATTTCCTTTCTGGGTGGTCAGAGAGCCTGTCTCCTTTCCCTTGGCTAATCTGTAGGCCTGTATTGGAAGCATTGTTTACAGTCATGCTCACGGCAGCAGATACTGTCCTTCAAAGTACCATGGGAGAAAACAACCTTGAAGTGTCAGCTGGCTTTAATCAGCAGTTACCCCAAGAGTCTAGGTTCGTGCCCCACCTTTCCCACCTCCCCCCACTCTAAAGCTTAGATGACCTACCTGCCCTTAAGTTATTATATGGTCAAGGAGTGGAGTTTTCCTCATAGACAGTCAATGGATGTTGAGAACGCGATATTTATATACTTTAGATCATAGACTTGCTTGGTTCTTAAGCATATGTTATTTCCATGAACACTGCCTTCCTGCAGTGTTAAAATAGGGATTCCCCCTTACCCCCACTCCCTACCCACTAATTATGAACTCAAATTACAGTGTCAACTAAAAGAAGGTTTTATTTTTTTTTTCTTAGCCCTGTCAGTATTTTCCGTGGCCTTAGGCACAAAGAGAGAATCTTCGTTTCTAGCCAGGGTCATCCATCCTGGGCCCAGAACCATCTCTGAGATTTGTCCCGTTGGATGTTTCCATGTTGGGTCATCGTCCCATCACACTTCCAATCTTCTGCCTCCCACGGGCCAAGTGAAAAGAGACACTGGAGATTTGTGTTGGGGGCACTGTGGGGCTGACGTGGCCAGTACCAAGGAGAACTAGGGAGGGAATCAGGTTTTGCACCTTATTGAAAAGAAAAAAATTTTAAGTGCATACATAGTTAAGAGCTTTTATTGTGACAGAAGAACTTTTTTCCATATGCGTGCATACTCTCTGTAATTCCAGTGTAAAATATTGTACTTGCACTAGCTTTTTTAAAACAAATATTAAAAAAATGGAAGAATTCATATTCTATTTTCTAATCGTGGTGTGTCTATTTGTAGGATACACTCGAGTCTGTTTATTGAATTTTATGGTCCCTTTCTTTGATGGTGCTTGCAGGTTTTCTAGATAGAAATTATTTCATTATTATAATAAAACAATGTTTGATTCAAAATTTGAACAAAATTGTTTTAAAGAAATTGTCTGTATACCAGTACAAGTTTATTGTTTCAGTATACTCGTACTAATAAAATAACAGTGCCAATTGCAAGCTTGTGTCTGCCTCTCTGTTAGGTTCCCAAAGATAAACAATGGGTCAGAGAAAAGCCAGCAATCTCTGTTTTATTTTTTGCCTTTTTTGTTCATTTTGACCATAGTTCTCCATAGTGCAGGTCTATCAAGAAGGGGTGAGTAAGGGGGCAGCTAGATGGCACAATGGATAGAACACCAGCTCTGGAGTCAGGAGGACCTGAGTTCAAATCCAGCCTCAGACACATAAAAACTCACTAGCTGTGTGACTCTGGGCAAGTCACTTAACCCCATTTGCCTCACTTAAAAAAACAAAAAAGGGGTGAGTAAGAACAGAGTTATTCCCCGCACACCTACCTCACTTCATTTTTTGCGTCCTTGAGGCACAGCTCATAGAAAATAGGCACATTTCCACATCTGGCATCTTGGCTCATCCAGTTAAACATTTTTTATTTCTCAAGAACTGAACAGTACCATTTGCAAGAAAATTCGTTTTAAACAAGCATTTGGCAGCTCATGAACTTAATGTGGCGTAAGGGATACACTGTATACAGTTGTGCTATAAACTGATTTCTGAGGAAGTTCATTCATTCATGTCATCTGCAGTATGTGTGTGGCCATATGCCTTATCACAAATGCACAAGTAGCTAGACTTCCCATTGCAGGTTCCCACTAGCATGACTTGTTCGTCTTAAAGAGTTGCTGGACCATGAGTGTGCATAGAGAGAATGATGACTGATAAATGTATGTGTTTGGCCCATGGATGCCAAACTCAAGGAGAAACAAAAGTGATCATTCATCAGCTGCCTTCTGGTGAAAGATGTGTTTCCCTGACACCAAATTGTTTGCTTGCCTGCTAAAGGTTTCCAGCCCTAAATGTCATCCAGGGGAGACTGGACAGAGGAGGGGGAAATTTTCAACAGAAAACCCCCATGCAAAAATTTAAGCCACAGAAGGAAGTTCATTCTATTAGCCTAATTAGAAATTGCTTACAGCTTTTGGCTCTACTTCTCTACTCGTCGTGTCTGTCCTGGACTCCTCATTGTTTATCAAGAGTTAAGATTTGGGGACGCAGAAATACTGGTGCTTACATGCCGGAAGGTTTGATCACTTTCAACCAGGACTAAGGAAGTGCTGGTCACCTCCCACCCTGGAAGATGGCATGCTAAAATGAATAAGCCACTAAAATTAGGTACTTCTCCTGAAGCATTCTGACCAAGATCTTACCTTTCTAACCTCAGTCCTGCTCCTCTTGGCACATAATCCGATTTTAACAACATAGCCAGGGGCAATTCTGACAGGAAGATGTGGGTCCCTGACAGTACACAACTTTTTATTGGGTTGGCCTGGCTAGGGTAGGAGCATTTAGCCAGTCTACTACATAGGAAGGATTTGGAAAATACAGTAAAATGATAGCAGCTCAGCCAAAGCAATGAGAAATATTTAGAGTCCACATTACTTAAGACAGTTGTTGAGCGAAGTAAGTAACCCCAGCACTGTGTCAACATCTCCCAGCTAGTCTTTATTTAGGAAGGCAGTCTCAGTGCTCTTTCCTCTGATTCACACATGGAAAAACCTTCGCAGGATGCATGTGTCATCTGTCCATTCAGTCATCACCAAGGCAAATGACAGCTGCAGATTGATGCTATAAATGCCAACTGGGGGTCAGCTTAGGTGCCTTTCCCTCTGTCTTGCTGCTGAGTCCAGCTACTGAGGCAACATTTGTTGTTGAGTTGTTTTTCAATCCTGTCCAATTCTTTGTGACCCCCATGTGGGTTTTTTTTGGGGCAAAGATACTGGAGTGGTTTACCATTTCCTTCTCCAGCTCATTTTACAAATTAAGGAACTGAGGCAAACAGGGTTAAATGACTTGCCCAGGGTCACATAGCTAATAAGTGTCTAAGGCCAGATTTGAATTCTTGAAGAGGAGTCTTCTTGACTCCAGGCCCAGTGCTTTACCCATTGCACCACCAAGCTGCCCACTGAGGCAACATGGTGCTGTGAAAAGAATGCTACGCTTGGAATCCAAAGACCAATCAAGACACGGTAAAAAGAATGTCAAATTTAGATCTGGAGGTCCTGGGTTCCAATCCTGGCTCTGACATTCACCTTGGGCAAGTGACTTCATTTCTCCTGGTCTCAGTCTCTTCAATTGTTAAATGAGTGTTGGACTAGAGGACTGCCAAGGTCCTTTCCAGTTTTAAATTTACAATCCTATGTTTCTATCACCTAAGTTGCAATCCTGGCTCTCCCCTCCCCCCAACAACAATATGCGTGGTCTTGATTATTAGGCAAATCACTTTTAACATCTAGCCCTCCATTTTTTCATCTGTAAAAATGGGGGTAATGCTTCCTGCTCCATACACCTGTTGCTATCTGAGGATCAAATGAAATATTGTCTCTGAAAACACATTTAACCTGTAAAACCCAATCTAAATGGAGACTATTCTCAATCTTGTGGCAACAGAAGATGTTTGCAAAAATCTTTGTTGTTCTTGGACTCCTACTTTGTTTTTAGGCCACTGTATCAAAATTACTTTGGCTTTTCTATCAGCCTCCATTTCCTTAAAAACAAAGATTAGCAAAGGGGTCTCCCACATAGGGTACCCTGGAAAGAGTATAGGACTTAAGCTTATAGGACTGAGCTCAAATCCCACTTCTACCCCTTACTGCTTATGTGAGCTTAGATATGTCAGTCTCCCTAGCCCTCAGTAAAAATGAGAGGGTTGAGCTAGACAACCCCTATGGTTGCTTCTAACCCCAATATAAGGTCCTGTGTGAGATAGATCTAGGAGCCTGCCCCATTATTTCATAGAATGGGCAGTTAGTCCTAAGTCAGAAGAGTCATGAGCTAATGAACCACATCTTTCTAGGTGTAGGATTTACTACTGTCTCATGTTTTCACCTTGGAGGTGAGAGGAAAAGAGCAACAAGAAGAAAATTAGCTATATTTAAAAGATGTCTGTTGCTAGGGGGCAAAAGAGATTTTTTAAACTTCCTTTCATGTTTTCCTTCTGCCTCTCCCAAACCCATCAGCAGCACCCTCCCCAAATCTCCCTTCAACTAGAGGTTAAGAAAAATAAATAGTAACAATAAAGACAATAAGGCAAAGGAAACCCATTTCTAATGAAGTTGAAGGCATACGCCCTCCCCCCCAAAAAAGAATGAAAAGTAGTGATATTTTGGTATTTCCAAGATAGGCCCACACCGTGCTTTTTTCCTGGTTCTGCCATTAATTATCTGGGTGATTATGAGCAAGTCATAGTCTCTTTGGGCCTTAGTTTTCTCCTGTAAAATGAGAGGGTTGGACTAGACCATCTCTAAGGTTCTTTCCAATTCTGAATCCCCATCCACCACCCACATTATCCAGATGTTGCATTGTTTCCCAACAGTAACTCATACATTTATCTTTATATAGCATTAAGAGCTATGTTCATGTATTTTGGGGAGAGGCAAGGGGTAAAATTGCCTCCACTAGACTTCAAGGTATTGGTGAGATACATGTCTCTGAGACATGGAAAGCTTTATAATTTTTTCCAGCCTATGCCTCATGTTTCAAATAGCTTTAAGTGGGGGGTAAGGTTGAACTTGATATTCTGCATGGTCAAGCACCAGAGGTAGACCTCTTCCTTTGACCTAAATCACAATGGGCAATCAAACACAAGCTTCCCGGTTTGTCCGTTTTCTCTTTTCCCAAAAGTCTCAGTCATCTCTAAAGAGACCCAATTTCTGTGTATTGTCTTGTGTCCAGTGAAAACAAAGGCTGCTTTAAGTTACTTAAACTTCCCAGTATATTGATATCCAAGTAACTCTTTGAAACAAGGAGCCAGGCATCCATTCATCCAGGGTTCATTCTGTTAATATGTCACCATGACTTCCTGTGAGATTCCTCTAGAGACCACATGTACGTCCTGTAAAATGTCATTGTGATCTGTCAATTACTCCATCAGTATAGTCACATGTTATCCATCATCAGAAATAATCACTACCATATCCAAGTAAAGTCTCTTACTTTAGAGTCTTACTACTACATTCTGGTAAAGAGCTATATTAACGGGAGCTGCCCTCCCATTACTAGCAACGGTGGGAACATTTCACTAGGATCTTTACAAGAAGAGGCTGTAGTACATTTAACGTGAGCACACAACTAAACACGTGTTCTTTGTAGATAAAAGGGAGGGGGAAAGAAAGGAGAAAAGTCCAAAGAGGGAAAGCCAATACCACCCTCACCTTCCACAAGTAATAGGCTCAATGAATATGTAGTTATGACATCCCTAGAAGGCACATGTAATGAACCTCTGGCCACCACAGATCAAAGATAAGGGGCCAAACCCCTATGTAGCCCAGAGCTCACTTAGAAAGTCTATGCTTCATGTTCTCATACTTACGATCTTGGCGCTTTCTTGGGAATCAAGGTCATTATCCTACCTAGCTGGCTTTGCTGGGATCTTCTCCCTTGGGCACCTGCCCAACCACCACTGGGCAGTGGCCACCACTAGGGAAGCACTGTCTGACTGCTAATACCAGCAAATGCTAGTTTGACTTTTACCACATCTGATGGATGGGCAGAAAAATTCCCAAACAGTGACTATGGGGCTTGATTCTCGCAAATGGAGACTCCAGCCATCAATTGTGAAGACACAGCATTATATTAAAGTGAAAACTATTTTCTTTAAAAAAAAATGGAAGGGTGTCACATGGATTTCAACAATGAGAACGTTTGTTGAAGGCAGCAAACACTCTACACCGTAGCACTGGGCTTGGCTACTAAGGCCATCTCCAGCTACATGTCTGCAGGAGATGCTGGTTATGGACTCCCGAGGCCCTCCTGCCACTCAGAGGAGGCATCTTCCATCATGAGGAGCGAGGAAGCTCTTACACAAGACAAGAAGGGAGACTGTGGGCAAAGCGGGTGCATGTCAAAGCTTCCACTCTAGTTGAATGGGGTTTTGGTCCCCCAGGTTAGCTAAAGATCGAGTTGTGCTGCTGGGTAACCCGGATGAATGTCGTCCTCCGACTGAGCTCTTTGAGCTTGGCGGCACCAACGTAGGTGCAAGTGGACCTCAGACCCCCCAGGATATCCAGGATAGTGTTTTCCACGTTTCCTTTGAAAGGCACTTCCACAGTCTTGCCCTCTGAGGCTCTGGGGACAGAAAACAGTGATTACTCTGGGTTTATTTTCTTTCTTAATCCCTTACTTTTAAAAATCTATGCTTTAGAATTTCAGTAAGATGTCAAGGTTTTCTCCTTTGGACCCATACAAAGCCTGAAACTCATGAAATCTCAGTTAAAAATGAAAGCAAAGTCTCCAGGACCTGAAATTTACCACTTGCTATCAAATCCCCAAACTGAACAAGTAAACATTCCTCCATAACAATTTTTGACGCGACTATAGATCTGAGCTTAGAATACAGAGAACAGGAAATGTGTGTCATCACAAGAGATCTCCACCCCAGACCTGAAAGGTAGCAACTAACTCTGTTCTACCTTAACCCATAGATACATTAATTACCAATAGCCCAGAACAACCTAGGGAGGAAGCAGCACGCTGTTTTACTTCTGGGCAGGTATTTCCTTTTTTCCAAGCTCTGAAAGATGCTCCTTAGCACACTATGAGGTACCCTCACTCTTCCCACATCTATGCAACAACAGAAAAACACCTCCTACTAAGAACCAGAAGCTGAGGTCATCTGCCCAGCCAGAGCTTCTTGGGGACAGAGAGAGGAGATGAGGAGAGAGATGAGGAGAAAGAGGTGGATGGATGTCCCTTGCTCACCTCAGGCAGCAAGAAAGGTAGAAGATCTACCATCCCAAAGTCTAAACTGCTAGCAATGCAAAATCTTTCCACTGGTCCCCCCACACCCACCTCCATATCCATAGGGACTCTCTCACCTCCCATTGTACTTACACTAGATTACCTGCCTTCCCATCACCACCATTTTGCAACCAAGCTGTGCCATATTTATCCAGGCTCTCCCCCATGTCTAGAATGCAGTCCCTCCTTGCCACTTCTTAGAACCCCTAGCTTTCTTCATGTCACCTCCTACATAAGACCTTTCCTGACTCCTCCCCTACAAGTGTCAGTCTCCTCTCGCTCTTGAAATTACTTTGAAAATGCTTTCTATTTATTTACATATATAACATATCTACTCAAATAGATTGTAAGCTACTTGAGGTCAAGGAATATTTAGTCTTTATATCCCTTGCACCTAGCACAGTACTTGAGACACAGAAGAAACTTTAATAAATATTCTTTGAGTGGAATTGAATTTAGAGTATCTCATCAATCAATCAACAAGTATTTATTAAGCAGGTCTCACCACATGCGAGGCACTATACTATACTAGAGATACAAATACAAAAGTGAACTAGTCCCTGCCCTCAGGGACATTACATTCCATTGGGGAAGATAACATGAACATATATAGGTATATACAAAATAGATAATAGTGATTTGGAGGGGTGGGGATTAGAAAAGGTAGAAGATACACTAAGACTTGAAGGAGACTAGGGATTTTAAGCAATGGAAATCAGAGAGTATATTCCAGGCATGGAAGAGAATCATGGCAAAGACACAAAGATGGGAAATAGGGTACCATGTTGGAAAACGCCAATTAGGTGAAGTGACATAATGTAAAATAAGGCTGGAAATAGAAAAGTATGCAAGAACTTGAATGCCAAAAAGGAGTTAATATTTGATCCTAGAGGTAATAGGGGGTGACTAGGTTTTGCTGAGTATGGGAAGTAACATGCTCAGAACTATAGGAAAAATATTCTAGTAGTTGTGATGAAGATGGATTAGAATAGGGAGGTTAGGAGACCAATTAATAACTAGCATTTATTTAGGGCTTTAAGGTTTGCAAAGTGTTTTACAATTATTATCTCATTTGATACTCACAACAACCCTGGGAGGGAGGAGCTATTATTATCCCCAATTTATAGATGAGGAGACTGGTGCCAATAGAGATTAAGTGACTTGCCCAGGGCCACACAGTGAATAAGTGTCTAAGGTAGCATTTGAACTCTGGTCTCATTGACTGGGCTGCTAGGTGGTACTGTGGATTGAGTTCAGCACCTAGAGTCAGAAAGATTCATCTTCCTGTGTTCAAATCTGGCCTCAGGCACTTACTGGCTGTGTGACCATGGGCAAGTCACTTACCCAGTTTGCCTCAGTTTCCTCATCTGTAAAATGAGCTGGAGAAGGAAATGGCAAACCACTCCAGTATCTCTGCGGAGACAACCCAAATTCGGTCATGAAGAGTCAGACACAACTGGACCACAACACCACCACTGACTTCCCAACTTCAGATCTAATACTCTATTCACTGTACCACCTGATAGGGCAGGTGGAAGATGAAGAGGGCCTGAACAAGGGTGGTGCCCACATGGGTAGAAATATGGGGATGGTTGCAAGAGATATTGTAGGAGTAGAAAAGACAAGGTGTGCCTACTGTTCATGTACAGGGAATAAAAGTAAGAGGTTGTGAATCTCAGTGACTGGAAGCATGGTATTATCAACTATTCAGAAAAAGGGTGGGTTGGGGAGATAAAGGGGGAGATTAGTCAGTTCTATTTCAGAAATATTGAGTTTGAGATGCCTAGAGGACATACAGATGGAAACGTCCAATAGATAGTTGGAACTGGGGCTCAGGAGAAAAATTAAAGCTATAAAATGAAGGTAATTACCCTGACTGATCAGCCTCCCAGGGACGGTCCAAGGAATAAGTGGTAAATGATTGCCAAGGAGCTATTAAAGCATAAGGAGCTGTGTCCTAATTGAATGTAACGTCAAAGTAGGAGAAGCCTCCTCCTGAAGGAGAGGTCATTGTAATAAGCGTCTCTTGTCCATAAGTCATTTCTAGCATTCTGAGAAGTGCCACAGGGAGTGAGGAGGGCCCTAGCCATGGAAATGGAGCTCTGGCCAGTGGTTTGCTTGAGTGGGACTTTAATTATTTCAGTGTTTTCTTTCCAGAACTGTGCCTTGATACTCTTGAATCTTTCATTCTCTGTTATGTTTAAACCCTGCTGAAATTACAGGAGACTTGTTTCTTTCAGTTCCTCAGTTCCTATTTTGGTGTGCTAAATATGGAGTCCATCTCTCCCCAGCCCCAGTTTAGAATAAAAAGCAGAATAAAAACCAAAGGTTTAAAAAATGGTTCAAAGAAAAATTAAATCTGCCTAAGCAGGGGAGCTAGCAATCCCTCCTCTGCAATGATCCTGTTTATGTAACCGTATCTGTACAGGGTAGCACCAGTCTCTCAGACAGGGACAATGAATTCTGATAGATCATTAAGCTTCTTGGCACTAGGCCCAGGCCCCCAATCGAGGTGGGAATTCCTCCCGCCTCCCCTAGCTGCACTGTGTAACCTGATGTATCAGTTACCACATGGGAGAAGGAGGCCTCTCCCAGGCTATTGAGGCTTTGAGAGGATGAGTTGTGTCTCTTGTTCTCAATTATATGGCAGGCTCCAAAGCATTTGTGTAACATCCTCCACCCCCTGGGGCCCCTAACCATCCTCTGAGTCCAGATATTAGAAAGTAAGAAAGAAATGGAGTGGGGCAGCTAGATAGAGCACCGGCCCTGAAGTCAGGAGAACCTGAGTTCAAATCCGGCCTCAGACCAAAGACTTGACACTTACTAGCTCTGTGACCCTGGGCAAGTCACCTAACCCCAATTACCTAAAGAGAGAGAGACAGAGAGAGAGAGAGTGAGAGAGAGAGAGAGAGAGAGAGAGAGAGAGAGAAATGGAGTATCTTTCTTAAAGGGTATTAAAGTCAACTTCCTGGCAACATCATGGGATTATAGATTTGGAGACTGAGGGGCCTCAGAGATAATCTCGTCCATCTCCCTCATTTTACATAGGAGAGAACTGAGGCTAAGAAAAGTTAAGTGAATTATCCTAGGTCAAAAGCTAGTTAGTTGTAAAGCAGGGATTGGAACCAGGTTTCTCTGATTGCCTCCAAAGCTAGCATTGTTTACACTCAAAACACTTGTTGTTCAGTTGTTTCAGTCATGTCTGACTCTTCATGACCCCATTTGGAATTTTGTTGGCAGAGATACTGGAGTGGTTTGCCATTTCGTCCTCCAGCTCATTTTATAGATGAAGAAACCGAGGCAAACAGGGTGAAATGATTTGCCCAGAATCACAAAGCTAATGAGTATCTGAGGCTGGATTTGAACTCAGGTCTTCCTGACTTCAGGAGTGACCATCTATCTAACCACTGCACCTAGCTGCCCACTTTCCCCATTATTCCTGCAATAAAATACCAACTCCTCTAAGTGGTATTTCAAACCTTTCCCAACATGGCTCCAGCCTAGGTTTCTAGACTTATTCCGTACTAGTCCCCTTCATGCTCCCAAAGTGAAGCCTGACTTGAGCGCCACCTGGCTGATTCCCTGTGCCATTGCCCAGGCTCCCACGTGCCTGAGGCAGACTGGTACAAGTTTAATGAAAGGACTTTTTGGAATCTGCCTCTTTGAATTGGCGGCTTCTTTAAAAATTCATCTCAGGTGTCACTTCCTATAAGAAAGCTCTCCAGATCCCTGCTACCCCTCTACTCCTTGGTCCTTTTTTCCTACTCAAATTATATTGCATTTACTTCTTTTGTGTAAGCAGGCTGCTAAGTGGCTAAGTGGACAGAGCAATGAATTTGAACTCAAGAAGACCTGAGTTCAAATCCAGCCTCAGATATTTACTAGCTGTGTGACTCCGGGCAAGTCACTTAACCCCTCTCAGTATCCTCATCTGTGAAATGTAGAACAGGAAGGCAAGGGAATAAATGTCTATTAAAAAAAAAAAAAAACTACCATGTGCCAGATACTGCTCCATGCACTTTTCAAATATTATCTCATTGGATCCTCACAATAACCCTGGGAGATTGGTGCTTTATTATTCCCATTTTACAGATGAAGAAATTGAGGCAAACAGAGGTTAAGTGACTTGCCCAAGGTTACACAGCTAGTGAGTATCTGAGGGTGAATTTGAACTCAGGTCTTCCTGGACTCCACTGTGGCACCTAGCTGCTCAATAGCTACAAAAACAATAATAATACCACCTCCTTCCCAGCACTGACGTGAGGACCAAAATGAGATCAAACTTGTAAAGTGCTTCACAAATTTAAAGTGATATATAAGTGCTATCACTATTATTGTTAAATATTGTATGCCCAAATAGAATATTAGCTTTATATCCAGCACCCAGCACAATGCCCTGTATACAGTAGGCACTTAATATGTAATTATTGAATTGAATTAAGTTGAAGCATTAGAACTCAACAACTATCCAGTTCACTTTGTCTGGCTGGTCTGTAGTAGGAAGCAAACGAAGGACAAACAACAACAACGAGAAGTGATGTAATACTTTGTGGAATAGTGCAAATATATGAATAAATACAGTGTCATGGGGTTTACCACACATATACACACCCTACTTTAAAATGAAAAAAAAGTCCAGGTTATCATTGATGGTCAGTCATGAAAGTCTCCCTTGACAATAAATAAGATAATTAAATGGCTAATTATACTGCCTTCATCAACTGTCCAGCCTTTTCATCTGTGCCTCAACAAGGCAACTTTGAAAACTGGCTACATTTAAGTAAATTTGCTTTTAAGAAATTATCTGAACACCATCCTGCGGTCTAGACAGCAGTTGCATTATTAAGCACTCAAAGACATCAGTTCCAAGCCTGATGACTGCTGTATGACCTCCCCACAGGCTGGAGGTGATGCTATTAGACACTCCCCAATGCTCCTGGGGCAGAGAAGTCTAGCTGTTCTCCCTGTCTCAACTTCACTGAGGCCAGGAAGACTGCTCCCAGGATATTTCTGGCCCAGCAGGTCCTCAAAACAACCACTGAAGGGCAGCTAGGTGGCTCAGTGGACAGAGCCCCAGCCTTGGAGTCAGATGGACCTGAATTCAAATGTGATCTCAGACACTTGACACTTACTAGCTGTGTAATCCTGATTGCCTCAGCAAAAAGAAAAAAATATATATACAACAACCATTGTCCCCCAGAAGCCTTGTTAGCATAATAAAAAGGGCTGGATTTGGAGTCAGAGGCCCTGGGTTCAAATCCCGGCTTTGTTGCTTATTACCCCAAGGGATCTACTTAACCTCGATGGGCCGATCATATCTAAAGGATAGGGTAGCCTACATTACTTCTCTAAAACCATCCGTTCAAGAAGCATTGATTGCCTTTCATATGGCAGGCTGGCCTAGGCAGTGGGGACAAAGGGACAGAAATAAACCACTTCTTGCCCCTGAGGAACTTACATTGTATGGGGAAAGGAGGAAGCACAACATATACACAGGAAAAATATATACATATATATATGTATATACCTATATATGTATGTACATATGTGTGGTATACATATGCACATATATATGTACATGCTCACAGAGGAATTTCTTGGGGGAAATCAAGTGGTGAGGAATGAAGCCATAGGGTAGGGGACCACGATGGACTTAGCAGCAATTCAGCCAAACCCTGAAGGAAGCTGGGAAGTCTAAGAGACAGATCTGAGAAAGAATTGTATTCTAGGCCCGGAGGACAGCTTTTGCAAAGACATGGAGGCAAGAGATTAAATGTTATGTATGAAAAACAGAAAATTGGTTTGGCTGGAATGTGGGTTGTATGAAATAACTAGCATTTAAACAAGTGCTTTCAGGTTGGCTGAACACTTTACAGGGCAGTTAGGTGGCACAGTGGATAGAGCACTGGGCCTGGAGTCAGGATGGCTCATTTTCCTGAGTTCAAATCTGGCCTCAAACAATTACTAGCTGTGTAACCCTGGGCAAGTCACTTAACCCTGTTCACCTCAGTTTCTTCATCTATAAAATGAGCTGGAGAAGGGAATGGCAAACCATTCCAGTATATCTGTGCCAAGAAAATCCTGAATGGGGTCATGAAGAGTCAGACATAACTGAAAAAAAAATGTAAAGCTGGAGTTCAGGAGAGAGACGAGAGCTGGGCATATAGATCTGAGAGTTACATTCATAGCTGAATACAGGGGAGCAGATGAGATTATCAAGAGACTATATACAGAGAAAGAGGAGAAGAGAATCTTGAAATATACACAAGTCCATGGGGCAGAAACACAGATGACAGTGTAAAAGAGAGTGAGGAAAGATTGGAAGGGTAGGAAGAGGACCTGGAGAGAATAGTGTCGTGAATATTCAGTGGAGAGGAGATGCTTAAGTCAAGTCTACATACTTTTATTAAGTGCCTACTATGTGAGTGCTAAGCACTGGTGATACAAAGAGAGACAAAAACAGTCCCTGCCCTTGAGAAGCTCCCAGTCTGAAGGGGGCATGCAAACGTGTCTAAACACATAAACAACCATGAAATAACAAAATACATACAAGAATTGGAAATAATCTCAGAGAGAAGGCACTAACTAGCACTAAGGTTGGATCGGGAACGGCATCTTGAGAATGGGATTCTCACTGATATTTGGTCAAGTTACGAATTCTTCAGTGAGACTAATAAGCATGAGGGCTGAGGAGAGGTTAGTGGATTTGATAATGAAGAGATCACTGGTAATCTGGGAGAAATGAGTTTCAGCTGAGTGATGAGGTCTGAAGCTAGATTGTAAGGGGTAGAGAAATGAGTGGGAGGTGAGAAAGGAGAGAAAAGCGAAGACAGGTTTTTCCCCTCTAGGAGTGTGGTTGCAAAAGGGAAGAGAAATATAGAATAATAACCTGAGGAGATGCTAGGATCAAGTAAAGTTTGTTTTTTTTTTAAATAAAGGCTAAAGGAGCATTTGGCACATTTTTTAGCAATAAGGAAGGATTCAATGGATAAGGAAAGATTGAAAATTAAGGAGGGAGAAGGGATGCTTGGGAAATAGAGTTTCTAGAAGAAAGGCAACGAAGTGTCATAACTAGCTCCCAAATCAGGTCCCCTAAAGGCTTGAACTATACTTAAAAAAAAAAAAAAACAACCAGGTCTCTCTCCTGCTAAATGAAGTACATTTTCCAGCACTTCTCCAGAGGAGTTTCCAAAAGAAAAACAGACAAGAAAGTCCTGCAGCTCATTTCCCTTTCAGTTGAGCTCTGTCCCATTTTCATCACCCCTAATGTAAGGACGCAAAGCAGCTGGCAAAATTTAAGACGCACTGAAATCTGAATGCTTCGGCTGCCTTTCTCACCTGTATTCAGCAACTCGTCCTGAGTGTTTCTTCATTGCCGTTTCAGAACTCATCCCATAGAAGAGCTTTACTTTTTGACCATTCCTCTCAATTACTTCACCCGCACATTCTGTGTGACCTGAGAACATCCCTCCCAGCATGACAAAGTCAGCACCAGCTCCTGCAAAGGGACAAGGAGAACAGACAGCACAAGAGAGGGCAAAGTCAAAATTGCCTCTGGGACCATTGCGGTCACAACACAGAGAAAATTTCTATCAAGTATGACCTAGAGCCAAGAAGACCACCTAGGCTACCAAAAGGGGAGAGATGGGTGCCCCCACAGAGCCAGGGAGCCCTAGCATTAATACATAACCTGAGCACTGAATTGCAGAGGAATGGCAGGTCTATTAAAGTTGATGATTGGAGCTGTAGATAATCATTCATGGTGTTGATGACAGGAGTCAGTAAAAGAGTAATTACCATACAAACAAATTCAAATCCCACAGGCTCATGGACATTTAAGAGCTGGAAGGGGCCTCTTAGAGGTCATCTGGGCCACCTTCCCCCCTAGAGCCACCTACTTGTGAATATATGACTTCATTTATTTATTCTTTCTTTCCTTTATTCATGTCATTCATTTATTTGCTTATTCATTTACTTGTTTCCTAATTTATTTATTGCACAAAAACTATAATGCCTTAGGTAAGTCACTTCCCTCTGAGCTTTGATTCCTTCATCTGTAAAATCAAAGGATTAGACTAAATGAGGTCGAAGAATTCTTCCAGGTTGAGAGTCCATAACACAGGAAGACTTTTCTCCTCTGCTGCATTCTTGGGAGTCCCTTTAGATCAGCGCACCCAGTAGCAGTGCCGGGCAGGACGTGGCCACTGCTTTTTCCCTAAAGGCTTCAACAGAAAAAAAAAAAAAAAAAAGGAAGGCTAGGCTAGGGAGGAGACATAATCCCTGAATGGCAGAACTCGCAGAGCATCCATTGCTAAGTTCCCTACCCGCCATGGCCTCCCTAGATATTTTCAAACTATGGCCTTTTCACTAATGAGTAAAGCGGAGAGGCTGGAGGCAGAAATGTTTTCCCCAAAGTCAGATCCACTGCGTCCTTAGGCTCCAGCCTGTGGGTCCCGCTGTAATTCTGAGCACTGCCCTCTGCTGCCCCCTTGTGTGCCTCAAAGGCACATTAGAAGCACTCTCATTGTCCCGAAATAGGCACAAGGTAGGGGCGCAGGGGAAGGGGGAGTTGCAAGGTGATAAATCATCTCCCCTGATCTTCACAACCACTTCTCCAAAAAGACTTCTTAAGACATCTCCAAAGGCCTCATGATGGAAAATGCTATCCACATCCAAAGAAAGAACGATGGAGTTTGAATGCAGATCGAAGCATACTATTTGCTCTTTTTTTTTCTTCTGTTGTGTTTTGTTTCCTCTTTCTGGTGGTTCCTCCTGCTGGTTCTAATTCTTCCTTACAACATCATTAATGTGAAAATATGTTTAATAGGAACATATATGTATAACCTATATCAGATTGTGTGCCGTCTTGGGGAGGGAGGTGAGGAGGGAGGGGGAGAAAATTTAAAACTCAAAAGCTTATGGAAGTGATGGTTGATAAATCAAAATAAATTAATAAAAAGGAAAAGAAAAGATTTCTTAAGCTCCACCCTTCAAGCAGGAAAAAGGGTGCATCCGTCTAACATATAAGGGCTAGAATTCATCAGCAAAGAAGACTTACTAGACCTAGGAGTTGGGAGACTTGGGTCCCTGCTCTGAAACTAGCTTACTATGTGTGTGACCTTGGGTTAATCACTTCACTTCATCTGTACATGCAGGACTGGGACTAAATGATTTCTGCGATCCCTTCAGTTCTTATGAAAAAGTCCTAAATGCTGGTTTCTGGCTTAGTAGAGCAGGTAGGGTCAGGGGAACTCTGGAGCTTGCCGGGCCCCCATATACTCCTAACAGGCACAAGAAAATTGGAGTAAGGGCATATCACCAAAAACCCAAAGGCAGGAAATTCTAATCAGTGCCCTGAGAATTCCTCTCCTCCTTACCATTATCATGCCCTGTCTCACACCTCCAGACCTCTAAGTGAGTTCCTGCATTCTTGTTCCTCCTTCACCAGAAGCCATCCCCTCTCAGCCCTGCTCTTCCCATTGGATGCAGCCGGCTACCATTTATGCCTGTGCTTACCAAATGATTTGGCGACATCTCCTGGACAAGTGCAGCCTCCGTCCTTAAGAAAAGAAAAAGCAAGTCAGTCAGAACCAGGCAGGAAAGGCAGAATCCCTAGTGCCCCAGGGATTGGTTCATCTCTGGGGGATTTGTGCAGGATACACACATGAATATCCTCACACCCTAAGTCATATTCAGCTATAGAAGGAGAAAGACAGAGAGAGACAGAAGAGGGGAGGGAAAGGGAGGGGAGAGTTGAGGAGAGGAGAAGAGAAGAGGAGAAAAGAGGAGAGAAGAGGGGAGAAGAGAAGAGGAGAGAAGAGAAGAGAGAAAGGGGGAGGAAGAGAGGGAGAGATGGGGGAGAGAGGAAAAGAGATGAGAGAGAGGGAGTAAAATAGAGAGAAAAGAGAGGGGAAGAAAAATTTAGGGGAGAGAGATGGAAGAAGAGGGAATAAAAGATGGAGGAAGAGAGAAATACAAAGGAGAGAAAAGGAGGGAGATAAACAGATGTGGGGGGGAGGAAGTGGGAAAACTTATTTTTAAATAGGGTATTGACAACAGGTATTATAAAAGAAGCACTTCAGTTTTCTCACTTGTAAAATGAGAAGGTGAACCACATGAACTTCATGTTTTCTTTCATCTCTCAAACCAAAAAGATTGCAGAGAATTTATGCCCCCCACCTAGTTTTCTTTTCATTTTCCTAAAATACAGCAACCGTGCTAAAGCATGTTACTTCTATTTAATTCAACAACCATTTTTGAAGTCCCTACTATCTGCAAGGCACTATGCTAGATATTAGGGATGAGAACTCAGACCCTATGCTCAGTGAACTTACAACAGAATGGGAGAAAGTCCAAATATACAATAATAAAAAGTGTCGATCGGTACCTGAAGCCACTACGCTGGAAGAATGGGAGGGAGGGGGAGAGAGGGTAGAACTCAGATCAGTTATCGAGGAGCTCCTTTCCCATTACCCTGGCAGGGGCCTGCCTCATTTGCCAAAGGACCTCTGGCTCTTCTGCCCCTGGGGAGCAGCACATCTTGCTTCTGCCTGTGGCCTCCCTGAGTTTATTTTGGTTTTCATTCTAGCAAACCCCATTTTAAACAACCAGAATCAGTCATCATTGCAAGCTGCTTCATTGTGTATGCACAGTGCACCCAGGAGGTGGGGAAAGTGTACTATTGGGTTGGAAATAGTTTCTGACCTCATCCTACATGAGTGGCTTACATAATCCATTGCCAGGCACTGCTATTTCTGCTCCAGTCTTCCTCTCCCCGGGCCATTCGCACTTGTGTTTATAAAACAGGACTAACACTTTTCAGTTTCAGATTTAATTGTTAGCCTTTCCCTCCCCGCTTTGAAGTGTGCTAGCAACTGGGTGGTGGATGGGGTGAGATTTTATTTGGCACAAATGGCAAATTAATCTAAGGGAAGGGGAAAGGATATTGGGTTATTTCCTGCATTAAAAAAAAAAACCCTCCCACTTCACACAGATGCTATCATGCTTATATAATTTATACCATCCCTCTAAAGCCAGCTCAAAAAACATTTGGGGCAATGTATATCATCCAAGCCATTTACACATCACTGCACTTCCTATACAGACCATTTCTAACCCTTCAAAGTGGTTTCATATTTAGCAAGAAGACAGCACCATGCTTTCTCCATAAGCACCGAGCAAATATGTGCATATGATGGTGATGAGGAATAGCATTTGAACATATGACTTCTAACTACTTCTAACACAGGGTAGAGGAGAGAGAGAGCAGGGCACTGGGATGATGGGAAAGGATGATTATTTTTTCCCCACACAGCACAAAATAATAGCCTATATTTCATGAGCATGTCAATGTTTAAAAGCACTTTCCTCACAACAACCCTGTGAAGTAGTGTAAGTACAAGTAGTTAGCCTTATTTCACAGATAGGAAGACTGAGACTCAGAGACATTCAGTGACTTGTCCATGGTCACATATCTATTAAGTATTAAGAGTCGGAACTTGAACACAAGCCTCATGACTCCAAGTCCAGCACTCCTTCCAAAATGACCAAGAGGATGATGGATTACTTCATAACTTCATCTCATTTGCTCAAATATGTCTGGGTGTAGATCAGGACTGTACTTAGAAGTTAGAAGAGGGGCAGCTAGGTGGCACAGTGGATAGAGCACTAGATAGGGGACTGGTCCTGGAGTCAGGAGGATCTCAGTTCAAATCTAGCCTCAGACAAGCTGTGTGATCCTGGGTAAGTCACTTAACCTTGCTGGAAGGAAGGAAGGAAGGAAGGAAGGAAGGAAGGAAGGAAGGAAGGA